TTCTTTCCTACTGTAGGAGGCACCAGAATTATTGGGTGAGAGTAAAGATTAGTGTAGAAGACACCAGAACCGTTGGGCTAGCCAAAATCGGACGGGAAAATCAAACTAAGAGGCAACATGAGGACGAAGAAAGCGAAGAGACGGAAAGGAAGGGACAAATGAACTCAGGAAGAAAAAAAAGAAAATTTTGGGAAAAAATTTTTGATATTTGCTGAAAAACTGAAAAAAAGCGAAAGGGTACTAAGCTTGAGCGACCTTTTGTCCACCCCACTGATTATACCTCACAGTACATGTACATCTTTTTCCATCTCCTCTGATCCTCCTGAAAATTCATCTCAACTAGGACAAACACTGTGTTTATGTGTAAGCATAACGATTTGAGGATGGACCCGTGACGCAAAATTTTCCTGTTGGAAGGTAGCGGTGGGTTGTCCACAGTTTCGCATGCTTGCTCATCGGCTTAGTCAATTTATGCAGCGATCACCTACAACACGCCAACGTTTTCCACGATTTTGGCCTCTGTGCTTTTATACTCTACCTGTTTTAACAACCCACAAAAAATCATTTTTTTTGTGACAAATACACTATTAATATTTAGAGGCTTGAAAAATCACGTTTAAAGATCCACAAAACACCCTAACTCGCATCCAGATCCCTTCGACTTTCAGATAAAATTGGAAAAAAGTGATATTTTTTGTAATCACTCATCTTTCGCATTGTGCTTGCAAATATGCATCACACCATCCTGCTCCCTACAGACGCAACATTTCCGGCAGCCTTTTTTGAAACAAAATAATTTTTGTTTCATTATTTTTAAATTCCTCTCTTCCTGAATTGCTTGCTTGCGAAGAAAACGTCCGCTCGTCACAATTTCACATTCCCCGTATTTTCATTAAGCAATCCTGGTTGAAAATCCACAGTACATTTATTATTTAGTAAACTCAGTTACTTATTAAGTTAAAGTAAAAACACAAGTGTTATTCAAGAAGTAAGCATCAGCTTGCCTCAAAGTATATTTAGAAATATTAAAGACTGAAGCATAAACGTATATGC